CCGGCCCCGAGCGCAGGGAACCGTCCCAACCGGGCACATCCCGGACCTGCCCAGGCCGGGAAGCGTGTCACGGGGACCAGGACCCTCATTCAGAGGGGCCGAAAGGCCCGGGCGCATCGCTGGACGCCTAGAGCTGTGATGCTCAGGACCTAGCAGGCTGTCCAGGGAGGATGAACTTACTGGAGGGAGGCCGCTGGGTGGTTAAGAGCGCGGGTAGAGGATCAGAGGGCCTGTCTTCCCCTCCTGGCTCTGCTGTTCAAGGTGTGAGCTTCAGACCATCTGGAACCTCAGCTGCCCCCTTAGGAAATGGGACAATGGTACCTGCTTCACAGAGCTGTCCCATGAGAATTAAATGAGTTCATTCGTGTAAAACTCATATGGTCCCTAAACACACAGTATGCTTCCATGTTGTTGTTGCTGCACTGTGAGGTAAGAAGCCATAACATACCTGAGTGCCAGGCGACCCCGCCATGCCAGGGGACGCAGCCAGCCACCAGCTGTCCCAGTGAGTGCCGGGTTGGGTAGGCGAGCCCACTGCTTCTAGGACTTTGAACCTTCAGACCAGGAAGGGACGCATGATTTTTTCTTTTTTTCTACATTATACCTCAGTTTTCCTTCGAATCCGACCCTGTTCAAAGATTGCTGGTATCTCTAAGATGCAGTCACATCTGCAACCGCTTTGTAGGAACCATGTAAACAAACCCCAAGGATAAAGCCACCCCGCAATAGATGGCCCAGCCTGCTGACTACTCACTCAAAAGCTTTTAGAAAGCAGGGAGTGGTTTACATGTTCATAAACGGTTTAAGGTCTGGTGGGCTTAGATGTGGCTTGCGGGAGGACAACGACTTAGTGAAAACGTGCCCACAGCTAAATCGTGGGCCCTGGACTTGAGGGGGTGACGGCGGCACGCTTGTAGCCTAAGACATAGTAGGAACGCAGTTAAGTGCTGCTAAATAAGTGCATTTGGAACTAGCTGCACATATCAAATCCCCTTGTGTGAACTGGATTTAAAGAATTACCTCTTTAGAAAAAAAAAAGACAGTTTTTGAAATGATGACAATGACAAAAAAAGCAGGATCTAATCTGGAAAAAATATTTTGGAGCGCAAAATCAGTATTGCTAATAATTAAGTAAAAAGTTCGCCTATGTATGCATGGCAGTGTTGGGCCCTGCAGAGTGGATCGCAGGCCTAGAGCCCCTCCTTTCCGAGATGGTCCTGCTTGCACTTTTCCTTTTTTTCTTCCTTTTCTTTCCCAATTTTATTTATATTCAATTAATTCCAAAGTGATGGCTTAGACATTCTCCTTCTTGCTTTTCCTGTCCTTCTCTACCTCCCCTATTCACCCAACTCTGAGAATTGGGATTCTTCTAGAGTTTTTGACCAACAACTGTTTATCAAAGTGAATAGAAGACCCTAATCCTTAAAGAAATCGGTAATATCAATTAGCAGGACATGGAAAAGAAGTGCGTTTATAGCTAACTAACAGTTTGTAAAAATTTACTTTTCTTAAAATTACAACCCCAGATTTTAAGATGCTTCATCCAAAGAAGGCCATTCCTGTAGTGCTAAAATGGTCTTAACAGTGGCTGAAAATCTGGCCTTAGCATTCCTTTTATTATTATTATTATTATTACTATTATTATTATTATTATTATTATTCTGATCACATTAACATGGTCTTGGTGGGGCAGCTTAGATTATAGTTATTTGTAAAATTATACTATCTGTGGAAAAGTGTCCAAGTTAAAAGTAACCCATCTAGGTTTGTTGTATGTAGCATAGAACTTAGTAGGATGCACACATTAATTCATTCCTTAACAGATTTCTTTTTTTTTTGAGCACCCTGCCCTACCCCATGGGTTGGGTCTGTGTGAGGTTCTTATCTTGATGAAGTTCTTGTTCACTTCACCATTTTAGTCCATAAGATTTTTGAGAGGAGCTATCAAAATTATTCTGCTTATCCTACCAATAAATGCTTAGAAAATGTTGGATACTGTTGTTCCCAATGAGTTTAAAACAGTGATGACCACAGCAAATGGCATCACGTGTCCACTAACTGGAGGGGAGACCCACCAGGAGGGAAGACCCACCAAGAGGGGAGACCCACCAGGAGGGAAGACCCACCAGAAGGAGATACCTACCAGGAGGGAAGACCCACCAAGAGGGGAGACCCACCAGGAGGGAAGACTCACCAGGAAGGGACAGCCACCAGGAGGGGAGACCCACCAGGAGGGAAGACCCACCAGGAAGGGACAGCCACCAGGAGGGAAGACCCACCAGGAGGGAAGACCCACCAGGAGGGAAGACTCACCAGGAAGGGAGACCCACCAGAAGGGGAGACCCACCAGGAAGGGACAGCCACCAGCAGGGGAGACCCACCAGAAGAGGTGAGTTGGAGATGAATGGTTGAGCACATCCTAGGTCTCCCAGACCACAGGCTTACTCTCCAATAAGCCTTCTTTAATATTGAAAAACAAAAACAAAAACAAAAAACTGCCATGTGACCAAGGGAACTAAAAAGTTTCGTAGTAAATCTATACCAGTGCATTCATCCTCTGGCCATCATAGCTTCTGACAAGAGGGCTGGTTTTCAGATGGTATATTAAT